ACGGGTTTTAACAAAGACATTCAGTATAAACTAGTTTCAACTAGACAAAACGGGTTTTAACAAAGACATTCAGTATAAACTAGTTTCAACTAGACAAAACGGGTTTTAACAAAGACATTCAGTATAAACTAGTTTCAACTAGTTAAAACGCGTTCTAACTAAAAACGGGTTTTGACTGTAACATATATATATATATTTCTTGCAAATATTCATTTTATGTGGTTAAACCTGTAATTTACTAATTATACAATTTACATGTAAATATATGTATAATTTATAACCTTATTTTTCTAGTTATATGTATCATGTCCTTGTTGAAGATGGACTTGTTTATATCTGTGCAACAAATGTTGAATTTGGCAGACGTCTACCTTATGCTTATTTGATAGAAGTAAGTTACAGAATAGAAAATAATAATCATAATAAAAATATGATTTTATCATTTCCAAATATAAATTGATTAATATCTAACTTATATATCAAAAAGAGAATATTTAAGTTAGATATTTTTCCATATTTATTAATATTTAAAACTTGTTACCTCTAGTTTTCAAAAAAATAAATTTGCAGCAAGTACAAATTTTCGTTTTTTGTGTTGATTTTGTTATTGTTTGGTTTCTGTATGTTTTGTTCAATCTGATTTTGTTTGTCATTCTTTTATCATGAATTGTTGATCATAATTTGTCTATATTATAAATGATTACTTGATAATTGCTTGCAAATAAAAAATAATATGAATACTTATATAACGAATGAACGGGATAAATATACTAATAATAAAACACGCCTTTAAAAATCCAGCTAATAAAAATTAATAATGTAAAAACATTTTCGATCGTATCTTAATGATCTTCTTCAGTTACCATAACATAGAATAAAATCGAACACAAAAAAGAACGTAAATACAAAATTAAAATATAAATAACAGAAAAGTAGCTATGTTGATAAAATAAACGAAAAATATAAATTAATCCAAAAAAATGTCCCTTAACAAAAATAAAAATAAATAAAGTCATTAATTCTTGTAAAAGGATCGCCATGCGGTAGGTAAAGAGTCCGCATCTCTATGGTTGATGCAACCAGTTTTCTTGTGTGCCTTAAAGATCTCTAATTTCTCCAGATATTTCATTGTATGTAAATTTGTCGTAGGTTTAATTATTTCTGCTTGATCCCAATGGACTTGAATGTCGTATTGTGTTGCATAAGACGATAGCATGGTGTTGTCAAGTGCACAACTTGCAGCAATGTATCAAAGAGCATAAATATATAATTAATAAGAAACTTGACAACACCGTGCTATTGTCTTATGCAACACAACAGACATTCAAGTCCATTGGGATCGAGCGGAAATAATTAAACCTACGACAAATTTACATACAATGAAATATCTGGAGAAATTAGAGATCTTTAATGCACACAAGAAAACTGGTTGCATCAACCATAGAGATGCGGACTCTTTACCTACCGCATGGCGATCCTTTTACAAGAATTAATGACTTTATTTATTTTTATTTTTGTNGCTCCATCTGAATTTAATGCTGCAGAAGAAGAGAATTTTATTGAATTCTCTTGTGACAATACATTGAAAACAAAATTTAGCAGCATGGAATTAATTGAACTTTGGATATCAGTAAAAGATGAATATTCCTTCTGAATGGTACAGCTCAGAGAATCTTAATTTCATTTGTGACTTCTTATTTGTGCAAAGCTGAGTTTGTCGCTGTGATAAAAACTAAGTATTGCATGAAAATCAATGTGGAGAAGGAAATGAGGGTGGCTGTGTCCAGTTTGATTCCAAGGTTTGAGACAATTTGCAGTGGTTAACAGGCTCATCTATCCTACTAATTATAATTAATTTAATTTGTTCAATTACATTTTTTTGTTACCTTAAATATGTGTTTTATTTATTTTTTACTTTACGTCCTAACTCTTTAATTTAAAAAAAATATATTGGCTATTTCTCTATTTTGCAAATTGTACTTGTTAGAATTTTACATAGGGTGCCTTGGAAAAAGCTGAATTTAGCAAGGGCATCGAGAATCAAAAATGTTTGAGAACCACTGATATAGACTTCTCAGAAGACTGATGTTTGGAACATCAGTTACAAACTATACCAAAATACAATACATTGTCTAGAATATTAAAACATTAAATATTTAAATAAAAAGAACACAAAAATAAAATTCAAAAATACCCTTAAATTCTAATAAAATTGAAATAAAATATAAAAATAGAACTAGAATTGTAAATTTTAAATACAAAAATATATATTAGAAAATGTAACTAGAAGTTTCTATAAAGTTTATTTTTTACAATAAACTTCCGTACTGATGATAAACTGTCTGCATCTCTTGCATTAATACAAAATTATCCTCCAACCTACTCTTATATATTTCAAATTTTTTCAGCATTCTTTGTTAATGTTGGGGATTTGTAAAGTCTTAATTATCTCTATCTCATTCCATTTCATCGTAGAGCCTTCCATTTGTGACATGTGGGATAATACTGTATTGTAAAAGCCTTCTTTACATTATACTGATGATCTTTAAGTCTAACTCTCAAGTTTCTTTTGATGACTCCAATATAATTCTTCTTTATTCCTAATTGCATATTTTCATAAGGTATCTACACACCTGCTTTATCCTCTTTCTTTAACATATCTTTGTCATTCCTCAATACAACTTTCTCCTAAAATATATTGAGTTGTTCGGAAAGTAATTTAATTTCTTTTACCACTAGACGGATTAGTCATATTTTTCCCGCTATTTTCATTCTAAACTATATCATTATATATTTTGACAGCTAGCATTTTAAGGCTTATTTGTAAAAAATTTTGTTTGATTCTGTGCAATTGTTTATTTTTTGTGTCCCATCAAATATGGAAGATCAAAAGCAGCATTTTCGGCATATTTTGCTCTTTCATTACCGTAAGAGTGCTGTTCAAGTGAGAAAAAAATTGTGTGACAGGTATGGAGAAGATGTATTGACAGAACAACAGTACCAAAACTGGTTTACAAAATTTCGTTCTAGCAATTTCAATATTGAAGATGCACCACGTTCTAGATGGCCAGTTGAAGCCAATGAAAACAAAATAAAGATACTGATTGAAGCAAACTGCCGAATAACAACACGTGAAATTACTAAGAGATTAAATTTGTCAAATTGAATCGTTTATGATTACTTGAAACAAATTGGTTTCGTTTCAAAGCTTTATTTATGGGTTCCACATGTTCTTAAAGAGAGATGCTCTCTTTGGTTGGATTTTAAGGAATTTTTTTTTTTGAGCTTTTACCAGACAATTTAACAATTGATTTGAAAGTGTACTGCCATCGAGTAAACAAATCGAGTAATATCATCAAACAGAAAAGGCGGCCAGAATTGATCAACAAAACAGGTGTAGTGTTTTACCATGATGATGTCAAATTTCACACAAGTTTGGTAACTCATCAGAAACTGTTATAACTTAGATGGGATGTGCTATCACACCAACCATATTCATCAGATTGAGCACACTCAGATTATTTGTTCTGGTCTATACAAATTTTTTTTAACTGTAAAACATTTACTTGAAATGACAATGTCAAAAATCACTTGGATCAGTTTTTTGTAAGCAACGATCAAAACTTTTATGAATGTGAAATCATGCTACTACCAGAAACGATGACAACAGGTATTTGACCAAAATGGTTGATTTCCATGGAAAAAAACGAAATTACTTTCCAAACAACCCAATATTTTTGTATTTAAAATTTACAATTCTAGTTCTATTTTTATATTTTATTTTACAGTTGAACTTAGTTAATTTGAAGTTCAAGGGGAGTGCAAAATCATTCGAAATATCCAAAATTTGAATTAACTAATTTTATCAATAATTATTAAGTAACATAGATATAGTGTAATTACTTTGTTATCACATTTTCCTATTAAACTTAACACTGAACATAAAATGAAAGCAAAACTTGCCTAGACAGCAAAAAGTAAGAAGTGATTGCAAATTTTGTGCAACTAATCATTTATAAACAAGAGGAAAAAAATTATCAGTAAAAACAAAACACTTCCCATATTGTTTTTAACCATTGTTGCATATTTGTTACAAATATTAAAGATGTTAAAATGAAAATGATGATGTATGAGAGAAATGTTTAAAAGGTGTGAATTGCAAGAATATCATGCTAATTTTGATGTCTACTCTGTTATGTCATGATTTTGTAACCATCCTAAAAATCACTAAAAACACCTGACAACAAAGGGTAGATTAGTGGTGATATGGTGATATTACACTTTCTTTCTTATTCCTTTTTCTACTTTGTTAATTACCTCAACTTTTCAAAGTTACAGAATTATGGTATTATTTATGGTATTATCTACACTTTGGCATGACAGAATACAGTAAAAAAATGCAACTAAACTAAAGTACACTGCTATTTCAAACTACTGTACAGTAAAGGAACAGAACAGTAGGTCTACACTAAATGATTATAGATAATTATCAGCACTTGAAACCTAGCATGTGATGTGACACAGTGGGAATTTCAAACATTCTAGAAATTTCAAACACATTACCTACTTAACAACCTACTGTTGTTAAGTAGGTCTCCTGTTGCTTTTTATCCATTATGTAGCCTTCAGTAAACCACAAATTAGGACAACTGTAGAGCAGACAAGAATTCCAAAAAAATAGATATTCTACAATAGTAAAACTTTAGTAATTAATATAAGACTACTCTCGCTTCAAATTATCCAAAAATTAGAAAACAGTTTGAATTAAACAGGTAATTTTAACATTACATGTAATAGGATACTCAGGGAATTTGAAAAATTCAAATTATCCAAAATTTGAATTAAACAAGTTGGACTGTATTTTAATTTTGTTTAAATTTAAGGTTATTTCTGAATTTTCATGTTACTTTTATATTAGAATTTTATTTTTGTGTTTTTTATATTCAAATATTTAATGTTTTAATGTTCTGTACATAATGTATTCTATTTTGGAACAGTTTGTAACTGATGTTCCAAAAATCAGTCACCTGAGGATGACCTATATATAGGCTGAGAACATTAGTTTAAAAAACAAATGAGTGTTTCTCAGCAGCCGAAAGTGTTTAGTGATGAATTATAAAGTGGATTGTGAGAGACTTTTTGATAAACATTAACACCATTGTTGAAAATGATGAGGACAAGGAAGTGTACTCAATGGTCACTTTGCTGTCCCAGGCACAACATTAATCTGTAAGGGTTGTTGTTGATTGTATTAAGAAACTTTAGATGGGAGGGTTACAATTCCATACAATCAGAATATCATCCATGTATCTGGAATAAAGAATGATGCAATCTTCAAAGGTCAGAAGCAAATTCTACTCCAATAATTGAACCACAAGTTCACAAAGGATCCGTGAAGTTGGACTACCTGTGGATAAGCATCTAGATTGAAGATACATGGAACTCACATAGCAGGAGGAGGAGTGGCAGATGAAGTGAGTCAACTGCAAGATAGACAAATGATAGTTATGCATATGTTTACCATGAAAAGCAGAAAATGGAATGTCTAATGGAAGTCACTGAAAAAAGTGACTGAAAGTCATAAATGGTGAAGTACACCTTCATTAGCAGCTTAAGTTCAAATAATTTTCTTAATAAAGTGCCCTGTTCTTTAACAACATACAGTGATACCTTGACTTGCGCTACCTGGACTTACACAAACCCGGAGTTACACAATTTTCAAATATCGTTGATTCATCTTTTGTTTGAGCACCAGGCAACTCTTGATTACTCATTCCCTCCACACTATTGTTCAACTTACATGTTCGGACGTGTCGCACGGAATCGACACATATCTACAATTTATTTTGTGTTATTTATTTCCGTGTTTGTTATATCTAGGGAGACTCGAGAGACTCTATGTGGTGATTTCTTGTAACAATGAATGAATCAAAAGACGAGATAAGATTAACGAGAACATTTATTAGCTTACATACATCTGACTTGGATTTTACACACATTGAGAAATGATACCCCGATTTACGCGGTTATCACTCGGTCCCACCTATCGCATAAGTTCGAGGTATTACTGTACAGAGATTGCTGGAAGCGTACTGTAATAAAGTGATTAATAATCCTTTTGACATATTGTGAGAGATGATGCTTTATCAATAACAGGACATAGCTGTGAATCATGTTTGTGGATCTTCTCAAAGGCAAACATTTGAGGCATAGTAAGAGCTGAATGTATAGCTGTGTATTTGAAAATCATCCAATTCTGGATTGAAGCTTTTGTAAGTAATTTTTAAATATAGTATATAAAAGATGGTTAAATTACATAAAATAAATATTAGTATTAATCAAGCAATTTTTAACTTTGTTTTGCAGTATGAAATTTTAATTTATTGACATTGGATTAAAGTCTCTTGAATTATGATTGTTAAGCAAAGAATAAATGTCTTTCATCCTTGAAGTTAATACTTTTTCCTTTTTCCAGCTTTGTAAATTTCCAGTGCTTCAAGGGCCCAGATGTTGTCATCACATTTTACCATATTTCTATATTTCATCTATTATTGATAATTTAATATTTTAGGTGTCCTTGCAAATTTTAAATTTTAAAATACATTCAAAATCTTATAATTATTTGCTCTTTGTCCAATATTGTAATAAATCTGAACAGCTATATGTAACTTGCTTTAGATTTTATTATACCAATATGTATACATTTCAGGCCATATACCTTTCTTTGGTTGGTTATAATTCAAGTGTTTTTGTATTTTCCAATTTTAATTCACAATTTGTATCCTCCTCCTATTTTCTAAGATATGTAAAATCTACTCTGTTACAATATAATTCAAGTATTTTTGTGTATTTTCCTATTTTCATTTAACATTAAATTTTAATTCATAATTGGTAACCATCTCCTAGTTTCATTCTGAAACTAGGAGATGGTTACCAATTATGAATTAAAATTTATTGTTTTATTATGTGTTTTGTTTATATGTTATAAATTTATATGTTATTTATTTTATTTTTAGTAATTACAAATCATTAATGTACAAAATTTTGTATTGTCTTCTATTAGTACATATTGTACAGAGTAACTTAAGTTAAATGTTACCCATATATTTTTTTAAAAAAGTGATGAGAGCAATTTAAATTTATACTATCAAATTCAAAATTAATTTTATATACTAGTATACAATGGCTTTGCTGATTGGAGTAGTTATAATCCATATGCAATTGAAAGGCCAATGGGTTCTTCAAATATTAGTTTAATTAACTTAAGTATAAACAATTTTTTATGAAATGAAAATTATAGAAGAAAAAAAGCATAAAAACTAGAAAAAAAAATCTCAATCTGGTAAAAGTTTTGAATTGAAAACTGCTTAGTGGAAATATTCTTATGTACTAGTTCTTGTAATAATGCAGTAAAGATTTTATCTACATTGCGTTATTAGTTTTGCACCTAAATATAAAAAGAAGATTATAAGTTAATTTAAAATACTTTAATTTTTAACTTACTAATAATAACAAATATAAATTTTTACTAATAATTTATATATTTTTTTTATTTTTCTGTATTAATTTCTTTCTTATATTAAAAGAATTTTTTAAACAAATTTTTATTTTAATAACTATTAAAAATAATAATTAAAGAACAATTATCAATACATTATATATATGTTACAGTCAAAACCCGTTTTTAGTTAGAACGCGTTTTAACTAGTTGAAACTAGTTTATACTGAATGTCTTTGTTAAAACCCGTTTTGTCTAGTTGAAACTAGTTTATACTGAATGTCTTTGTTAAAACCCGTTTTGTCTAGTTGAAACTAGTTTATACTGAATGTCTTTGTTAAAACCCGTTTTGTCTAGTTGAAACTAGTTTATACTGAATGTCTTTGTTAAAACCCGTTTTGTCTAGTTGAAACTAGTTTATACTGAATGTCTTTGTTAAAACCCGTTTTGTCTAGTTGAAACTAGTTTATACTGAATGTCTTTGTTAAAACCCGTTTTGTCTAGTTGAAACTAGTTTATACTGAATGTCTTTGTTAAAACCCGTTTTGTCTAGTTGAAACTAGTTTATACTGAATGTCTTTGTTAAAACCCGTTTTGTCTAGTTGAAACTAGTTTATACTGAATGTCTTTGTTAAAACCCGTTTTGTCTAGTTGAAACTAGTTTATACTGAATGTCTTTGTTAAAACCCGTTTTGTCTAGTTGAAACTAGTTTATACTGAATGTCTTTGTTAAAACCCGTTTTGTCTAGTTGAAACTAGTTTATACTGAATGTCTTTGTTAAAACCCGTTTTGTCTAGTTGAAACTAGTTTATACTGAATGTCTTTGTTAAAACCCGTTTTGTCTAGTTGAAACTAGTTTATACTGAATGTCTTTGTTAAAACCCGTTTTGTCTAGTTGAAACTAGTTTATACTGAATGTCTTTGTTAAAACCCGTTTTGTCTAGTTGAAACTAGTTTATACTGAATGTCTTTGTTAAAACCCGTTTTGTCTAGTTGAAACTAGTTTATACTGAATGTCTTTGTTAAAACCCGTTTTGTCTAGTTGAAACTAGTTTATACTGAATGTCTTTGTTAAAACCCGTTTTGTCTAGTTGAAACTAGTTTATACTGAATGTCTTTGTTAAAACCCGTTTTGTCTAGTTGAAACTAGTTTATACTGAATGTCTTTGTTAAAACCCGTTTTGTCTAGTTGAAACTAGTTTATACTGAATGTCTTTGTTAAAACCCGTTTTGTCTAGTTGAAACTAGTTTATACTGAATGTCTTTGTTAAAACCCGTTTTGTCTAGTTGAAACTAGTTTNGGGCGGAAATAATTAAACCTACGACAAATTTACATACAATGAAATATCTGGAGAAATTAGAGATCTTTAATGCACACAAGAAAACTGGTTGCATCAACCATAGAGATGCAGACTCTTTACCTACCGCATGGCGATCCTTTTACAAGAATTAATGACTTTATTTATTTTTATTTTTGTTAAGGGACATTTTTTCGGATTAATTTATATTTTTCCTATATATTTTATCAACATAGCTACTTTTCCGTTATTTATATTTTAATTTTGTATTTACGTTCTTTTTTGTGTTCGATTTTATTCTATGTTATGGTAACTGAAGAAGATCATTAAGATACGATCGAAAACGTTTTTACATTATTAATTTTTATTAGCTGGATTTTTAAAGGTGTGTTTTATTATTAATAATATGAAATTAAGTAGTATACTATATTACCAATAAATAAGATACTTATTCAAATTAGTTACTATCTTGTAACTCAAAATTTAATACAATCATAAGTAGGCTTACCATGATATTTTTTTCTCAAACCGGGACAATTTTGAGAAAATAGTCACAACAGAAAATAAAGCCTAATGGGATAAGTACCTATGATTAAAAAGGCTAAATAAAGAAGTTATTTAAAAAATGACGAGTTAAAAGCAATTTTTAATAACTCAACGAACATACCTTATTATTAAGAACTTATTAATATTTATCACTAGTATGAACTTTCTTTAAAAATTCTTTGTCACTTAAATCGGTATTATTAAAATATGACAATAATTTGGGGAAGTTCCTTCCACTGCTACTAGGCTTACCTTGTGTTTCACATATATCAAGTGATTTTTAATGTCCCAGCATCCACCATGAGTTACTGAAAATTCTGAAAAGTACATTTCCTTTGTCAAGATGATCACAAACTTGTTCAAAAAATGGATAATCCTTTTTTAATTTATCAGTAAAAACAGTTTCTTTTTGGCATTTTGGAGATTAGATTAATTTAACGTAAAGTACAAAATAATCACAAATGCTGACTAGAACTTTGAATTTTGAACTCAAATAAGATAGGACATTCACAACAATGACATGGCCAGTGTATGTTTCAGTATTGCCAACTCTAATTGAAATAAAATATCAAAAAAATGAAATGAAGATATTTGAATCTCATAGGCTACATACTATTGTAAATTCTATGGAAAAATATCTGGATGAAAAAATAAAACATCTAAATTCATTAGGCTACATTCTATAAATTTTGGGGGAAAACATCTAGACAACATTGAAAGTATTTAGATCTACAGTAGTGGTGAAAAATAGATCTACCCTTGACATATTTTTAAAAAATGCAACCTCTATTTTGTTTACCACCTACTACATAATTAACATTGTGATAGTTGAAAAGAGCACAAAAAATGAATCAAAATACTCAATTGAATCAAACAGATATTATTTTAAATTTGATTTACAAAAGAAAAAATGAAGTTTTTATTTTTTATACTGTGACAAAAGTAGAGCTACCAAAAGAAATATGCAGATTTGTCTAGTATTTTAGGACAAAATATTAGTACTTTGTAGCGTAACCAGAGATTCTGATCACTGCATCACATCTACGTTCCATTGAATCAAGTAAGTTGTCTCGAGGAATACAATTATCGAATGATATCAAACAAAGAATGGTAGATATGCATTTGAAGGAAAAAAAGGCCTTTACTAAAATTGGTGACATCTTTAATGTGCATAAAACTGTTATTGTGAAAGTGGTGAAGTATTTTCAAATATATGGGACCATTGTTTTTGCCGAAAAGACCACGATAAACAACACCAGAGTTGGATCATTTGATCAGGCATACAAGTGCAGCCAAACCCTTGTTTGACTGCTTCACATATTAAATGTGAAGTGGGTAACCCAGATATAAGCTTAAGGACTGTATGAAGATGTTTGACTAGTTTTGGATTACATGGGAGACAACCAGCAAAGAAACAACTCATCTCTGCAAAAAACAAAGTTGAGATTAGAGTTTGCACATGAACACACCACTTGTACCAAACAAAAATGGTCCAAGGTGTTATGAATTGATGAATCTAAATTCAATGTCATCTCTAGTGATGGTATATGATTTGTCAGACAACCAGTGAACATGAGATGTGACCCAAAATACACAGTTCCTACGATAAAGCATGACAGTCGCTGCCTAATGGTATGGGGATGTTTCTCTGCAAATGGAACTGGTCCAATTCATAGAATTAATGGAATAATGGATCAAACTGTTTATCAGGATATATTGCAGAATCAAATGCTTCCTAATGCACGTCGTTCAATGCCAAGAGGATAGATCTTCCAACAGGTCAATGACCCAAAACACAAAGCAAATTTAATAAAGCAATGGTTTCAACAGAAAAAGGTGAATCTTATGAATCTTACGTCATGGCCAGCCCAATTGCCAGACCTAAACCCCATAGAGAGAATCTTTGGGATGAAGTTGGGTGTTGTATATGCCAGTGTACATATTCGAATCCAGATGAATTGTGGTCTGCCATGGCATGAGATTTCCCAATCAGTGCTTGACAACTTAGTTGATTCAATGGAATGTAGATGTGATGCAGTGATCAGAAGCTCTGGTTATGCCACAAAGTACTAATATTTTTTCCTAAAAATACTGGACAAATCTGCATACTTCCTTTGGTGGTAGCTCTTTTGTCACAGTGTAAAATATAAAAACTTCATTTTTTCTTTTGTAATACAAATTTAAAATAAAATCTGATTAAATTGAATATTTTGACTCATATTTTGTGCTCTTTTCAACTATCACAATATTAATTATGTAGTAGTGGTAAACAAAATAGAGGTTGCATTTTTTAAAAATATGTCAAGGGTAACTCTACTTTTGCCACTACTGTAGATACAAAATATTTAGATTGGCAACAGGGAGTGTAACAGAGGGGATTATTTTAGTTGCCAAATTGTCATTTTACCTGAGGCTGCACTATTTTTACTTCTTGTATATTCGGCACTTTTAAAATTTTACCAAATAACCAGGATAAAATGACAAACTGGCTGGGATGCATGGACCTCATCATCAAACTGGGACAGTCCCAGTTAAAGCAAGATGTCTGGTAAGCCTAATCATAAGTGAAATACTAACATTAAGAAAAAGTTATATAAAAGAATTATTCATTTCTTGATTTTAGAATGATGATCATATTCTAGTTTGTATGAAGTAAAATAAAATAGTAGATTGTATTTCACATCAGAAATGATTTTTTTCTGTTGCATAGAATTCATTTTCTTGTTTTTATATTATTTTTTTAATAATTTAATCTATCAATTGATGATGATAATGAATTGATAAGTGTTTAATAATTTTTTAATTGCAAAAATAAACTTTTATGTAAACTGTTTAATTTTTAATATGAATATACTCACTGCATTCACTGCTTCACCAACAGTTTAATAGCAAATGATTTAGCTATTTCAGTAATTGTACTTAGCAATGATACTTACAATCTGAGAAAAACATTAAGATTTTTGCTTAACATATTTTTTCTAAGTGAACATGAGATGTGAACTCCATATTGAATATAATTATTTTCAATAGTTTCAATAATTCAGTTGATAATTCTACATATATATTAAGCAATATATAGGTTGAACCTCTTTAATCTGGCATGTTTTGGGTCTGCTGCTACTAATTTGTAGATCTGTTATGTCTACTTATTTAATTCAAAGAAGATTAATTAAAGAAAAGCCAAGAATCAACTACATTGCAACAGTGTTTGAATAAAGTCATTAATAACTTACTCATTTCAATGTAGAAAATTCATTTTTCTGCAACTTGTCTGTTGCTTATATACACATAACTGATGAGTGTAGAGAACCTAATAACCCGCATAACTTAAAGGCAGTACTGATTATGAAGACTCTGCTGACTTCTGATGTAATCTGAGTTACAGCAACTACAAGTAGTTTAGTTTTAGTCTTAATATTACATGAAACAATAAAAACCTTTGGAGGTATTAATGGTTTTATTATTTCCTGAAGCTTGGCTCTACCTTTAATACTGTAATGTGTGTTTGGAGCATATGGTTACATAGGTGGTTTTTCTTTCCCATCAGTTATATATAACAGAGAAAATATGGCAATTGGTCAAAAATGACCTTCCAAGATTTTTACATTTTTGAAATCAGGACCTTGAAATGTCAAGAAATGTAAAATATTTAGGTGTTTTTTTTTGTGCATATGGATGTTAGAATGTATGTATGGGAGGGCACCCACTTTTAAACTTAATAATTCCTATGCCTTTTGTTGAAAATTTCTGAAATTTTGCAAAGAAAGTTTGTGTATTAGGGAGATTGATGCTAAAAAATTTGGTGGTTAAAAATCAACTGGATGGGGCGATATAGAAGGTTGTGTGTTATATCTCAAGTAGGGTTGGACTTAGTAAAGATTTTACTTGTTATTAGCATTTACAATTTTTTTATTAAACTCATCCCCACTTTTAAAATTAAACTTTTTACCATTTTATAGTAATTAATAATAATAAAAGTTTTTAATAAAATATTATAACAGATGGTACCATATGCCACATGCTGGAAAAATTAAGCAACTCGTTGTTGAATTTTTTTATATGAATCTTAAAGGTCAATTTCTGTAATCCAGCATTCCTTGTAGTCCAGCAACGGTCTGATCTCAAGGTTGTCAGATAAAGGAGATTCAACCTGTATTAATTATTATTTAAATTGTTATTTGTAGACTGGTGTTGGCCCATAGCAAGTTTCCAAAAAGATCTTTTGTATGGATGTCCAAAAATGTGTTATGTCCATTTGTTTGTATTTTATTTTTATTATTAATATTAAAATTTATAAATAGTAGTCAAGTTTTTTAACTTCATTTTTAAGATCAAATTTATAACAATGCAAATCTTGCCAAAACATATCTATTGTCATCCTTATGATCAATGTGCGTTTTGTAACTTCTAATTTAAAAATAATTGATCATAACTTGGGCCATAGATTGCCATGATGGGGCCTGTATGAGACTAATGCTTGGCATTGCCAGCATTCAGTTCCAGGTTTTCAAAGTGAAGGCTGATGCCTAAGTGATTTCCATCACTTAGGCAATTGGCTGGTGATATACAAGGTGTAAATGAGATGATGATTCCCAGATTGGGAACAGGTTCAGTGGTTCAAACTTATTTGCTTGTTATCTTATTACCAGAATGTGTCATATGAGTGGTAGAGGGCTGTGAAGTTTTGCTTAATGCTATTCCTATGGCACTCTGGTGTATCAAAAATGCACCTCTGTTAGGGAAATGGGTTTGTGTATTACTGAATACCTACTGATCATGTATTTATGCTGTAGTGCTCTGCAAAATGTGACATATGTTTGAAAAGGTGGCTGGCAACTTTATTACATAAAATGTACCTCTTGATGATATTTTTCCAAACTCTTTGGAATATATCTGGAAGTTCTCTGATGTCTGTAGTTACTGCTATTATCCATTCTGCAGGATGGTCTGACTGCACTGCAATTTTATATTAAGCAAAATTTAGCTGCTCTTTGCCACTCAGTTCTAGCCATAACTGTAATAAGTAAATACAAGAAATCCTTATTAGTTTGAACTGGAATAGTTCAAAATCCTGTTAGTTCATAATTGTACTTTTGTTCTTGTTGGGGAGATAGAGATTTACATGTTAAGGAATTTAGTTAGTTCAAAATACAGCTACTTCAAAATTTGAAGTGAAAATTCTGTTCAAACTGTGATATGTGTATGTTAACTTGTTCATCTAGATCGAAGTATCTCCGTACTATAAGAGACCAAGTACAACCTTAATCTGGTTGACATGGCTTTGCTTTCACAGTAACACATTTTCAGGTGTTACCTTATCCATGGTCTATCCTTGTTTTTCTTATTTCATAAGAGCTGAGTTTTGGGATTGCAAGATTGGACTACATAGCAGATTGAGACATTTAGGCAACTTGCTACTTTTTGGGCCACTTAAAAATAATTTGGATTACATTTTATGGACTTCTGCTTTACTTTTTATAAAAATCTATCTAACAACCTGTGATGATGTCACCAGACACATGCTGTTTATCTGCAGTTTATTTATATTATTATTAATTAACAAAAATAGCATTCTATATATGTATATATATGAACCTATACTTGGTATATATTCCTATGTCAAAATTTGTTACCAGTCTAACACTGTCTGGCATTCCATACGGCCTTTCATAAGCAGATACTTTAAGCTCAGTTGTAGTGATTCATATCTTGCAGGGAATCATATCCTGTTATATGCAATTTGGTCCAAGCAGAAGGTAAAATTTTCAGTGACAATCCTTGGTTGTTAAATGATGTTTCCACAAGGTCAAATTGGAAGAATAGGTAGTTCAGAAGATGCAAAGAATACAACTTAAAAACTATGTTGGATGTTCAAAATCAACATTCATAAAACAGACACTTTGAGAATGGGTCAGGTTTGTTGGAGTGGCATCCAGCAAACCAGACCCATCCCTCACGATGGAAAATTGTCATATGAACTTCTGTATTAAACTTAAGACTTATACTGAATAGGACATATACCATACCAACACAGAAAACATTACATAATGTTTTCTGTGTTGCATTTGTATACAATTATTCAGTTTATTGCTTTATACATTAATGTGTGAGACATGGTTCAAATTTGTAATTATTTTATATATGATTAAGTTCCATAATTTAAATTATAAATTTGTTCTACCAAAATGACCTATGTTGTTAAATAATGTTCTATTTTTTTTTTAAATTTTTTTCTATTTACTTTTCTGAATATGTTACTAGATTGCATTCAATGATGGTCAAACATTTGTTGCATTAAAATTTATTTTTCTAATATATGAATAGAAAAATGTATTTTATTAATTTGACTACAATATATTTTGTACTTATACATTTTATATAGTTATATACAAAATATACAGTACTTTTGATCAATGTCAATTATATGTAATTTTTAATAAAATCAGTTTAATTTTGTGTTTTCATATAATATTTAAAGTGTTATTTTTCTAGATTAAAAGAAGATTTTCAAATAGTAGTCTTATTACTCGTGCAAGATTTGCATCAGAACATGAACTGGATAGAGATTTTGCACCGCTTATGGAAGAACAAATGGTGATTAAAACATGTTCTATTTTTTTTTTTTTTTGGAAGTATTAACTTAGATTTATTATTTATCTAATGTTTTATAATTATTGAGAAATTAAATTGTGAAACTAAATTCATTTTGTGATAATTAGCTGATAATTTTTATGCATTTACAGAAAATTACACTTCAGTTAATATTATTATAAATATTTTAATAAAATAATACTTGTGTTTGTTTTGCAACAATTCAAGCTTTTTCAGACTTACCAAATACAAGGAGACTTGTTTAATAACTTACACTAATAAAGCCAATTTAATACAGTGGAACCTCGGTATACGATCTTAATCAGTTCCTGATGTTTGGACTTATACTGAATAGGACGTATACCAAACCAACCTTTCCCATAAGAAGTAATGTAAAAATGATTAATCTGTTCTCATGTAAAAAAAATCCCTCTTGATTTGGTATATTAATGGGGTTGTAAAATAATTTAAACACTGTTTGAGCACATTAATAAAAAAACTAAATTTATTATAGATTCTTAAAGTTGTTACAGTATATTGTATTATATTATTTAAATCATTAAGTCAAAATCAAATCAAACTCTCCTTAACACCATTTGCAACATTAGCAGATTTAATAATGTCTTTATTTTTCATGATTGTCGATATTGTCGTTCTCGGAATACGGTATGCAACAGTTAAATCTCGAACACGCATGCCACCTTCATATTTCTCAGCAATCTCTTTTTTCAGTTCCATTGTGACTCTAGTCATTTTTTTTAGTTTTCTGTTGCTTTTCATTTGCCTTTTTGCAATTCATGATTAATAAAAAGAATAAAATTTTACTTACGAATTGAAATCAGAAGAAGTTTAACAAAGTTATAAACCGTGGCACTGTGAACGTCTATCTGGTCTAGTACACCGATAGTGCTACTTGTTCATAGATGATGCATATAATTGAATTAAGTCATATACCGAACAAAAGTCATATACCAAGCAAAATTTGTTTCATCCAAACAGGACGTATTCCAAATTGGGCATATTCTAAAGCAGACATATATCGAGGTACAGTACCACTGTACTTATCAATGTGCAGACTGTGCAAGTGCACATATCAGTAAATTTCTGTAGAAATGAAATTTGTAACTTACAAATTTGGTCATGATGCTGCTGGTGAGTACAGTTATCTGAATGTTTTGAATGAATGGTAAATAAACAAAACAAAAAAGAAAAAAAAATTTAGTCTTCACAAGCATCAGTGCATCAGATGATGTCTGTAGCATTACCATGTTTTTCCTTCCACACACTGTTGTGCGTGAGAGTAATTTTGCAACTTTAAAGAGAGAGAGAGAGAGAGTATCATGTCTGAGGGGGATTTTTTCAGTGAGCTGTCATCCTGTTTCATAAAAATTGTAAATAATACAATGTGGATGTTAGGTATTTTGTGGAAACAGAATGGTATCAAAATATGAGACAGTTCCATTGAAGATGATGATATCTGGTCATTTTATTTTATTAGTAATTGAAAGCAATAATTACAGACTAAGTAGGTTTTATGATTATAATAAAGAATAAAAATTATGTTATAATGATACTCTTATCTGAATTATAATATTTTGAAAATACTGCTCAAAATGAACATTGCTGTAAATAAAAGCTATCACATTAAATGAAAGAATAGGGGAGGTTCTGGAGATCCTAGCTTTGGTACTTGAAATTGCTCTCCATGGCCTTGATTATAAATTATTCTTTAAAATTTTTATATAGTAGCATAGCCCAAGTAGGCCTAAGGAAGATTAAACTTTTATAATTTTAAGTTAGACCAGGCTATGATGGTCCCACAGGATCCAAATCAAATAATGAAATGCAAAATACATTGTTATTATTAACATTAGAAATCTCATGGTTAAAACCCATTAACAGTGTAAAAACTGAGAAAATAAAATACAGTAGAGCATTGATTATCCAACCCCCAATTAACCGTCACCTCGGTTAACCAACCACATTCTAGTCAGCAAATTCAAATGTCTGCTAGTGATGTGGCGCTACAATATTTGGCTATGTCTTGGCTACTTTAATATTATTTTTACGTGTTTTAGCTGGCAACACTGGATCGACCATGAAAGGGAACCAGTATTTAAACGAGGCTTAATTTTCTAATTTTTGACGATACAATAGCAACAATTATTATTTTTTAAAAAATTTGATAGGCTTAACATGGAGGAAAATTCAACACGAAGTAGGTTAATAGCGATATACTAATATACTAATTACATGGGATATAATAATATACTGTACTAATAATGGATTTTTTCATACTTTTCAGTTATCCGACTTTTCAATTATTCGACCAACCCCAGCCCCCCAATTGAGTCGGATAATCAATGCTCTACTGTATAAGCAAACAGTAAAAATTAAAGCTGATTTGCTCAGAAAATTTTTAAAAATGATTTATATTTTTTTTTTTGACTGAAAATGTATTTTTGTTTCTGTATCATTTTAATTTATATTATTACTTCGTATTAGTTTATTATAAAATTTTTAAATATTTCAGATTCGTTTTAGTACTGGAGAAGGTGATCAGGTGATGCAATTACAATCTCAAGTTGATGGAGTAATGGGAATAATGACACAGAATATTGAGAAGATAATTGAAAGAGGAGATAAAATAGATGATCTTCTGAATAAAACAGAAGAATTGGGTGTTTCAGTGAGTATGATGTAATTTATTGAAATATTTATTTTTATATATGTATAAGTGAAATAATTGTTTAATTTTTTTCTTGTGTTTTAGTCAATGCAGTTCCATAGTACTTCTCGTCAAGTCCGAAGAAAGATGTTTTGCAAAAACATCAAAATGTGGGTTATATATGGTATAATTTTCTCTGTAATACTTACGTTGATTATCCTTATGGCTACAAATGTTATTCCTGTGAAAAACTTATAAATCATCTTAGTTAGGTTTAAAATTACTTAGTGTTAAACATTTGAAAAAAATTGCATCTTTAATGGTTTCATAAATATATCTAGAATTATTATATTTGCACATTAGATATCAAATTCCAGTTCTTATAAGAAAAAGTAATATATTATAAACTAAAAATTTTTCTTCAATTTTCTTGTACATCATATAGTAGAACTGGCACAGGATTTTGAATATTTAGGTAAAATTTCTACTTGAAAATTTTATAATACAATTTACTGACTATCATTCTTAATTTATATTAATTGCTAATGTTATTTCAATTATTTTTCATAAAATTTGAAGTTTTGGGACCAAGTGTGATTAGTTTTTTAAGAGTTTATTAGTTTTCTAAAACATTCCTTATTTTTTTTTTATTGAATTTTCCATTCCTAATACATATATATATATTGTTCAAGCACACATTGAATACAGTTTTACATTCCGCTGCTTAATTCAGTTCAACCCTCCTTATAAAAGAAATAACCATGATTAAAATGTGCCAACAAGATAATTTTATACCAAAATAAGTGCCTCATAAATCAAAACAATCATTAAATAGCTCATCTGTCCCAGTTAAATCACTAAATCACATCCGGCCAGTTATGTCCAATTGCTCAGCAGACATTCCATCTTCTAAAACTGTGATTAAAGCTGTATTCCATATTAAATCATTCCATCTTTTACATAGCAAAAGTAATTTGGCAGAATAAATGTAAATACCAAAATTTGAAAAATAATGTTTTTTATATTTGAAAATAATTGTAAATGCTATTGATTTATAAATCATTAATTATNTTTTTATGTTGAAGAAATCCTACAACTGAAGACACTTCAAAAGATCTTATCTTATATATTTTGATAACAGTTTTCCTGATTATAATCTTAATGATGTCTTTAATTGATTTTTTTAACATTTGTCTCTTGTACTTTTTCCTCCTTACACTTTTTCAATTTCCTTCATCACGCAAACGGAAAATGGGAAGAGCTGTACTCTGTAAAATACAAATTACATATGCATTAATGAACGAATGTAACAGGTGTTACATTTTATACTTAAATTACTAACTATTTTTCTATGATAACACAGAATTATTTTTTAAAAATATGTAATTATGTCTCTAATTTGTTTATACAAAAATAATAAAATCTATTACTAAAACTATTAAAACTGTGATTAAAGCTGTATTCCATATTAAATCATTCCATCTTTTACATAGCAAAAGTAATTTGGCAGAATAAATGTAAATACCAAAATTTGAAAAATAATGTTTTTTATATTTGAAAATAATTGTAAATGCTATTGATTTATAAATCATTAATTATAAAAAAAATTAATATGGTTATTCTTATGTAAATACTTTATAAATCAATGGCATTTCATCATAAACTTCAAATAGTAAAACCAAATAAAAAGTTGAGGTATTTTGTTTTGGTGCTTATACCATGTACTGTACTTCACTCACTATCAATAAGTTCAATAAGGTATTTTCCTGTATTATCCATAAATGAAATGACAGCAATTAATTTTGCAAGCAGCCTAAGTAATTTTTTTATTTTATACTTATCTATACGAAGTGATGATTGGTTTTGTGTGTATTATTTTATTTACATAAATTATATTTAATTTTGTATAAAAAAAAATATATATATAAATTATTCTGTAATTATTATGTATATATTTATATAAATGATCTGTTTAAAAGATCAAGATATGAAACCAAAGATTTCTACATCCATGTCCATTTTACAATTGTAGCTTTGTCCACAATACTTATGAATTTTAAATACTGATTTTATAATACTGTATTTCAAACAGTCAAAAATAATTTTTAATTATATAAAAGCCAAGATGTTTAAAAAAATTTTGTTAAAATTACTCATTTTATATACCAAACAGTGAAATTTTTCCATTTTCATAAACATGTATTACTGCAATAGTATTTTGTATTCATATGAGATTTTTGTTAAATTGTAAACCCTTTTGGGATTGTTATAAAAAAATTGTAACAATATTTAAAGGATTGTAATTAAAAAAATTTAAAAAATGAACTATTTCTTAACTGTTTTTATCAATTCTGTTTTCCATGTCTCAGTAATATGTTTTAAAAAAGTTATTTTAATAAGAAACTTTCAAGCCAATTTAAATTCTGATAACAATCTCTTGTGGCTTTAAGTAATTTAGCTCTTTTTTTTTATCCTTATTGGTGTTAGCCAATTCTAATTAGTGACAAATATTTGGCAAAATTTGGACAGTACAAAATTACAAAGCAATGTAGCTACATGCAATATAATCACAAGCTGTTTAAAGAACAGACATTTTACGATTTATGGTAAATATAAACAAGAATGTAACATTAAAGATTATGTAAATGATTAGCTTTTAATGTAAAAGATTAGCTTTAATAACTATTTCTGTAATAATTTACATACAATATTGAAAAAGTACTGTATATTAAAGTAAAAATTTTGATATACTAAGCAGTATAATTTTCCATTTGATAAGTACTTTTTATGTTTAAATGTATATAGCTAATAAAATCTTAATATTGTATTTAAAATTTTGATTAATAACGTAATAATTTCAAAATATAAGTCAGTTTTATCAACAATATATAATTTAGATACTCCTGATTCATATATGATTCTATTTTAATTTTTGACTATATTTATTAACTACAATGCCATAATTTAATAATATTAATTGATTAAATTCAAAAGAAAGCATATAAAATTAGATTCAAATTATTTGAATTATGAATATTTTCAAAGAAAATGACAGTAAATAATTTTTTTTTTATTTAACAAAAGAAACAGATGATAAATTTACTGTGCTGAAATTTTGTTTTCTTGAAAAGAAAATACATCACATCACCATCATAAATTTTATATTTTCTGCATACTTTTATCTACATCAATTTTTATTGAGATTGATATTTTTAATATAAGATTTTTTAAAATATTTATTATCTGACGTCAGTTTAAAATTCAAATATTACAAAATTTTCTTGTTACTAGAAATTTTTATTGTCCCCCCAAAAAAATAAACTTATTACTAAATTTTTCAATAGAACTATTCAAATAAACAGTGTAATGTTGTGTAATCAAGAAGAAATATTAATATTTTATTTTTATGATAAATCTGATTAAAGAGACGAATTTAATTTTGATAAAAAAAAATTCTTAATATAAATCTATAAATTTTTTATGTAAAAAATTTTTTTTTAATATTTAATTCAGAATTACCAAATATTAAACTATCGACAATTATTTTTAGTTTCTGTAAATATATTTTTATTTTCATTATATTTGTTATTAATTATGAAATGAAATAAAAATTCGTATTAACACTTATTAATTAAGATTTGGAAAAGAAAAACTATCTACTACTTTCTTTTTAATATTGTGATGAATTTCAATGTATTTTGATCTGAAAATAGAATTTATAATAAAATAAAAGAGGAATATTTCGTTATAGAAACATAAAAAAATACTTGAAAAATGATGAAATTAAAACTGATTAAATTCTTCCGAAGTCAAAAATGCGATCGTAAAAAAAATTTGAATTATGAGATTTTTAAAATATTAATCAAAAATCAATTTTGTTGGAGCCTAAACTCTGATGTGTGATGAGATCGATTAACTCAAAATGCAGTTATCTTAGCATTATAACATTTAAAATAAGTAGTAGTAGAATATTTAAACTTGAATTTGTATGTTAAAAATTAAGATTAAATTTCTCTTAATACGCCATGAGAGTATCATTAATTAATTCAAAATCCTTTTCGTGAATTATTTCAGTATATTTCGAATTATAAATTGACATAATGATAAAAGTAAGACCTCAAGAAATAGATTATATGGGCTACTTACGAAGAATAAAACGGGATAGAACTTTGTAATAACTTCTATAACATAAAAGTATCCCCAAGAAACTAAACAACTTAAGAAGGCTCCTTCTAGTCTTCAAAGACTGTTTAGATTAATGGTTGAACTACTTACATCGTTCTCTTTGCTTTCTTACTAAGAGAAAAAGTTGGCAAAAACATTCCCCGTTTTCACTTCCTATATAATCTTTTCAATAAGTCTTTATAGAGTATCGTAACGGTAGGGAATTAATAGTTCGCATGAAGAATTCACACGATATGAGAACACAATAAATTTTTTAACTCGAATTTCTTCTAAAAAAAAAAAAAAGTACAAAGGAAAAAAAATTCTATTTTGGAGAGTGTTCAATAAATAGAATTTTTTCCCCCGAGTGTCAAACTTTACAGCGATAGCGAAAAAACCGGCAATGGGAGTTTTACTGGGTCTATCGGATCAAATAGGAGCATAGAAAGGGGATAAGAATCCATCACTTTATTAATTGTGATAAATACATTCACGTGATGTACATCCCCGTCTAGGTAACAGCAGCTTCATCGATTGAAGAAAGAGCATGCGTAAAAGTGCTGGGATTTCAGGAAGATACACTCTGAAGGTCGGTGCTATGTGAACACGCCGTGTCCCAACGGAATCTAGAAATTTATCCAAACCAAAACGATAAAAAATTACAAATCTTGACAATTAAACGTGTCGGACAATCGCTAAGATGATAACCACATTACTGTACATTGCCGGAGGTACTGTGATTTTCTTCAGCCTTTTCCATACAGGTGAGTTGACCCTTTTTCTTTACTTGTTAACATCATCTCGTCGATTAACAAGTTCGTTTCTCTCTCATCCTTTTTTTTTACTCTGTCATATGATTTTTTCGGCAATGTTCTTCCTTTAAGAAACCTATTGGGACTGTATGGTTGTCGAGACAACGGACTGGATCAATGAGTCATTGATCTAAAAGGAAATTTATGTCTCGATTTAGGTTAAGATGGCTTCTCTTCGTTAAACTAAGTTTTCAGAAAATTTCTACAAATTTTTTTTTCCAAATATCACATACAAAATTCGATTTTCTTGTTAGTTACTGTCTAGGTTCATACAGCTTTCATATTTAAGAAATTGGTTCGGATAGTTTTAAGTTTTTCAAACTTTATAAAAATTAATTTTATAAAGTATAATGAAGTATATAATATTGATGCAAAATATGAAAAGATCCTTAATCATATTTTTAAAAGTAAATAAATAAAATAACAAAGCAAATTTTTATGTAAATTGTAAAGTAATTTAGTGACTTTCAAAAAAGTCATAAGAATAATTAAAATACATTAATTTTAAGGAACGTGTATTGTTATCTTGTTACTATTTTTTCAAATTTCCTATTTATATAAATCGCTTGTGACTAAGTAGCCGCATTAAAATCTTCGTTATAAAAGTTTTAAATGGAATTTTTTTAAACTTTAATTTAAAAAAAAGTTGTTTATTTACTCCGTAGAGCCGAGAAAAAATATTACTATTCGGTTCTTTTTTCGGTCGCATTCACGAGGTCTGAAAGTGTCAAAATGACATTTGACTGCGTTGCTACGTTTTATCGACATTTAAGTCTAAAAAATTATCCTGTGTTTGATCAATAATATTTTATATAACTGAAATCTTACAAGTTATTTATTTACATAAATTGTTACACGAAATTTGAGTTTTTATCTAAAATAATTTATATATATAATCGCTTATTTTACGCGAAAAAATTATTGAAGAATTTATCCCAAATTTCTAGCAAAATTTACTGCCCGAAATTTAACTTTAATTTTTCTGCGTTAAATTACTGAAAGATAATAGTTTATCGCCGCGTGTGTTAAATCGTGAGTTAATGAAAATTTAAAAAGATAAACATAAAAAAAGACCGCCGAAAATCCATTAGATTGATTAGAGCTGTTTACTTTTTCAGAAAAACTAAATCAAAATGTCATCACACGTGCCAAAAATTTGATATTGGGCGGAGCTAATGTTAAATTACATTTTTTTATATTCGCTTAAACTAGTAAATTATTATTTTTTACATAAATAATTTATGTTTGAGGATAGATTGATAAGTAAAATATGAAAAAAAAATATATATATATACAGTATGAGATTTTTAATCTTTTAATTTTAAGGTATAAAATTAAATACATTTCGTTTTATTTTTAGGTTATTTTTCTTATCTTTTCGGTGCAGATTTTATTTTTAAATTTGATTTTAACTGAATAAAGTACTTTGAGATGTGCAATAAAAAAAAAGTAGGAGCCTGCTACGTTACACAAGATTAAGTTGAAGTGGTTTCAACATCTTTCTTATTTCTAGAACACAACTCAGTTTTTGTATAGAAAGGAAATACAGAAAAAATCGCTCGAGAGCAATTTTTCTTTTTATTCCTGTCAAATAATGATATTTAAACTTTTCTTTTAGAAATCTTTTGATGTAAAACTGATTCCAGTTTCTATGTAAATATAAGTTACATAAGTATAAATGAATAGCTAAGTTGTTACGGCTGAACTAAATTCAACAGAAGTCTTCAATTGATGTTAAGTACGGAATAAATCTTAATTTTACAAGTTTCTATAGCTGAAAACTGGAAAAATAAAGAGAGAACTACAGAATTTCTTATGAAAATCTGTTAGAGATTTGTCTAAACTTCACATCATCTCTATATTTAGCTGGATGTAAAGCGTAACCAGCTCAATTTTTTGTCCTTTCATATTAATTTATATAATTTAATACGTAGAAATTTGAGAAGTTTGCATCCTACTTGATAAATTAAACTTTCTGCTTATTATAACTACACTCGGCTATTATTATTATTAAATTAATTTTGAGTTATTTTCGCTTATAATATACTATGTAAGTTCATCAAGTACTGATTAAATATGAAAAACAATTTGTATTTCTGGTAATTGTAAGAATAGAGCAATTATTATAAACACGGATGCAATTTTATCAGTTGATCGAAGTGATAAAATTGCATCTGTGTCATCCGTTATAGACACTTTGCAGATATTTCATTCGATTTATGACAATTTTTTTTTTTGTTATAAAATAGCTTAGAAATAGTCCATTTATGATCTATATAAAATTTTTATTTTTCATCAATTTGGTAGATTATTCGAAGCTTACTTTTTTTCACTAAATCTAGAAATTAATGATTATATATTTCGATTTATGCCATTAATTTTAACATCAATACTACTCCAGTTTTTAAAATTCCATTTTAACATCTGTCATTGACAGTTTTGATGAATGCTGTATTGTCTCCAAAATGTCAAAAGAAAAATATCGTAAAAATAAACTCTACTTTTGGATATATTAATGTTTTACTTTTCTACAGATCTAGTACATTCAATATAACGAAATCTATGCTAGAAATTATATTACTTTTAATGCGAAATTTATCTCTTAAACGTCGTTATATTGCAGTTAAATTACACAATATATCGACTTATAAAGGATAAACTTCGACAATAAATCTGCTTATCCTTAGTTTATTATAAGAATGGATTAAGGAAGTGATAAACCAAATCCTTCAAAGAGAGTATTTTTTACATGTAAAAAGAAAGATAAGGCATATTTTCGTTATATAAAATGCCATATTTTTATTATGTCTTTACCAAAATCAGACGGTATTTTAGTTAAAAGATTTCCATGAAATTTAATCTCAAGGTTCTTTTTAAGTTATATTTTCTTGGAATATTTCTTATTGATCTTCAGAATTTATGATTCTACTTACTCGTGACAATCTAATATGAGAAGCCTAAAGTAATTTTATTGAGTCACGAACTATCTATCAGCTAGTAACGCGTATTGTAAGCGAATATTACTAATGTATGCAGCAAAAAGTCGGGCATGTACTAAATTAACGAAATTCACATTAAACAATTATTTTAAAAACGTTTCCATATGTAATCTTTCTCCTATTCCTGTTACCAATAAATCGATAGTTCAATTAGCTTGCATTAAATCAGTGAAAGATGCACGTAATGAATATTATCTAAGCATACAATGAGCATACTCTTATCATATTAATAACTGGAATATGCACTCTAAAATTATTCTAGAAAATATATAATGTATTATGAATACTATTTTGTAGAGATTAGTTTTCTTTTATGCATGACATTTTCACAGCTCTGTAAAGCTCTTTATTGGTTATATGCATGTATTATTTTATGGATAGCGTGTTTTGTAATGGGTGAAATAATTTGCCATGCTGTTTACGCTCTTAACACGCAAACAGCTGAAGAACATATGTTACAGTAACCTTCAGAAAATATTTTTTGTCCTAGTTGTTCTATCGAGATGTTGCTTGGTAGTATCGAATTGCAATTCGTTTAGCAAGCTTCCAGTGGTGGATTACCCAATACTAGTGGTCCTCGAGACGATGGGGCCCATTAGACGCGCTCCTAGGGCCCCGTCGTCTCGAATGGCCTCAAAACTTACGTAGTAAAAAGATAATATGCATCTAAAAGTGTAATGAACGTGTGAAAAAGTGTGTATTTCTCACATCAGCGAGAACAGTGACATAACTCATAATTTGAAGGTTTTATTGCCGTTTTAATATAAGAAAACACTTTTACATAAAGGGCCTTATAACTTACTTTTGCCCCTAGGACCTCAAAGAAACATAATCCTCTACTGAAAACCTTTCTATTATATTTATTATAATTATCGCATGACAAGAACTAAGTAATATATAAAGTTAACAGAGTTTTCTTCCATGCACAAATAATGAGGGCAATTTACATTATACAGCTGTATTTATCATTGTAAAATTTAGAATTTTCTGTAAAAATTTAAGTGTTGCCTATATAAGGCTTTGTTGATATAATGTTGAAGTGTACTAACAACAAACGAGCCTTTAAATCTCATTTAATACAGAATCTCTGCTTTTTTAAAGGGTCTTCTTCTATATCATCAATATAAATCTTTCTTGATGATAAATTATTTTCTGCGCTACTTTAACAACATTTTCTGTATTGTATCATTTTCTTCACATCCGGAAGTGCCTTGGATAACATCAATGAAAAATTATCATAGTCGAATGATGAATGAATTCCAAGTTACAAAATAAAATGGTAGTTTCAAATCTCTTATCCAGCGTTACATTAGTAAAAAAGGAGGGAAAAAAAATACTTCATCAGTAATAATTCGAAATAATTTATTAAATTTATATATTTAAGTTTGAATAAATTACATTTTTACTACATTTTTATATGAGATATTTGAATATATTTTATATCTAAAATGGAAATCTTAAGGAGGAAGTATGAAACAATTCCATATTCAATAATTGAAATTACATTTTATTTTAAATTAAAATTATAATAAAAATTCTATTTTTATCCGAATTAATTTCATTTCATAACATTAAATTCAGAGTTTTTATTACTATAGAAACATTTAAGATATATATATATATATATTCTTTATTTAATAATCTACATTTTGAATATCTTTAGTTATTTATTTTTAAATCTTTTGACTGCAGAAATGATTCTAGAAGTGAAATTTGTCCTTCCTCTTCACTGATAAAATGTTTTTTTAGAATTTCTTCTTGGTATTATCAGATAGAAAACTAAATGAATAAATAATCATTTAAAGAAGCTTTATTCTCTTCAAACATCTAATTTGCTGTTTAAAATATTCAATTTGTTTTGTTTTTAAATTGTTTTAAAAGCATTTATGTTTATATTTATTTATTAGCATTTATTGATTCTAAATTTTATCATTCAATTTAGTTAATATTTGT